GACTACCTCTCGGAAAAATGTCGAAACCACAGGAACGAGTTGAGACAAAGAATTTTCTACTACCTGTCCAGCATGACTCTCCGATCCGGGCCGTGTGCCAAAACCACCGTCGAAATTGTAGCAACTCAAGACGTACCGTACAGCCTTATCGAGGTCAATTACATGCATTCTATCAATGAGGAACAATGTAGCGACCGCACAGAAGGAGAACCGCGTGTCTACTTCATCTGAACCAAGATAAACTGATAAATACTTATGTCCTTTATAATTGTTTCCTGACGAAAGAATTCAATTGGGGACCAAGACAAAAATTACCATAAAAGGGGATGAGGACAAAACAATCGTAATTTGTCGCGTCGTCGCACGCGGGGTAACCTGCGGCGATGCGCAGTAGTTTCTCAATGTGCGTAAGTTTGCCGATTGGAGCAGCCTAACTTGTATGAATCGCAAGAAGAACAAGCGCAGACATGACTCCATGATGAGCGACTTCAATTTTTCTCGTCTTTTTTACATCAAAATACAAATACAAACGGCCCGCCAAGACAACTCGTCTTTCCTGCGCGCCGTCTGTGGCCACGCCCACACGGCATATTACGACAGTCTTGTCACATACTCCCATAAAAGGGAGAAAGACACTATCGCAGTTGGGGGTAAGCTACGGCGGCGCTACTAGCACTGTGGCTGCTTATCTGCGTCTTTTCACGAAATGCACCCCTCTCCTACTTTTGAAGGAGGCGGACGAGCAGACTCTAGTCTACCCCTTCTTCACAGCTGCGTTGGTCCGAAATAAATTCAAAATCTCCTGAAATATCACGTACTTGACACATCGCCACCAAAACTGCCATCTTCATTCTGCAACTGCCGTACGTATTCAGCGATGGCATCCAAGTCAAATTTATCCAACGAGTCAAACATTATTAAGATCTGAAAGATTAGCAAATCGCCAAAGGCAAAAAGTGTGCAAGCTGAAGGGGATCTACATATATGGGCGGATGGCTTACCTGCACGGCGCTTAAGGTGTGGAGCAGATGGCTGTCATGGATGCGTGGCAGGCGCAAACCCACCGTCAGATCGCTGGCACTGTCTGATGTACTCAACAACTGCATCGTGATCCAAAGCGTCTGGCTGAAATTGAACGAACAAAAAAAAATGGTTAGTATCCAAGAAATAATGCGCTTTGCTTCCTGTCTCCCATTTCGTTACCATAGATCTTGCTGAACAGGCGCTAAAGTTTTCCGCCTCAAATCTGAGTCAGGACCCATTGAAATTAGGGCTAAGTTTAGCTACAAGGGACCCAATACGGCGGACAATACTCGTATGCATGCCTTCTTGGGAACCGAAGTAGCGGCGGCATAGTCTCGCCCGATGATTCCCAATCATCTCAGCCCTCAAAATAAAACTGTGACTGGGGAAGATACATGAGAAAACTGATACTACGAAGACTAACCATGTCTTTACGCTTGTTCTGCGGATGCACGAAAGCGCGATGCACACACCAGTAGATCCCCGCTTCATCGTAGAGGTTCTTGCGCATAAATGTACTCGCTGAAGCAAAGAAATCGTGAAAAAATCCACCCAAATCATGAATGGCATCTCTTCTCATTCATTTCCACAGTTCGTGTATGAAATGTGGAAGCGCTTCAGTGAAGAACTTTTCTTCTCGAATCCATGCGGTTTCTGAGAGAGTTCCCGGATGCTCGTGTCGAGAAGACTTTCCTGGCACCTCTAGTGTTACGTGTTAGGGAGATTCAAAGCCCTCTTCTTCCTGTGAGGTCCGCCGTTCTGCCAGGGAAGGGATATTGATGGCGCTGTGTACGCTTTTAGAAACACGACCTTCTCTCAGGCACCGCCTCAGCGTAAGTTTCCTCCTCAGCAGGTGCAGCTACCGCTTGTCCACGAACCTCGTCCTCCTTCTGAGCGAGCTTTTCCCAAAACCCAAGACCGTTGCTGTCGAGGGGAAAAGATTAGAAGTTGCACGTCCATACGATAAATATTATTGATCGAGAGGCCAACCAACGTCGGGCCATGATACTGTGCAGAGAAGAGGAAAAGGAACTATTGCAGATTTCCTGTGGTTGAGTAAGCCCTTCGCCCGCAACGATCAAGTCTGACCCTCATTCAAATTTGCGCTACAAAAGAATGCTAGGCTCCGTGCCGAAACGAAGCCAGCTAAACCAGACGTCTGTTGCTAAGAAACGGCCTAGGACGAAGAACCAACTAGCAGTAAGTGGGAGAACCTGCTTTACCAGGCCAAAACGCATGGGAAGCATGCTCTTTGAGGGAAGCGAACCGTCCTGGGAAGAAGGCAAGGAGAATAGGAAGTGAGAGTTAGTCTAGTTCCCTGCGATGGCATGGGACGTGTCAGGAGGGTAAAGGGGTGGTGCGGCGTTAGCGCTGTTTTCACCGAAAGCTTAATAGGCAAGTTGCAACAACTGGTGAAAAGAATGGTCTAGCGTAGGCGTCAGAATCAAGAGCCTCCCCCAGCGGTGCCTTTCCCCCCCTCTCGCCCAGCATCCCTCGTGCGAACAAGAGTGATTGTTTAAAACAAAATGTATTCTGGCACATTTGTGTAGGGAAAGCAGTAAGGGCCATGCGTGAGAAAATTTTAACCCTAGAGGAAATCTCAGAGGACGCAGCGAGGGCTAGCTGAGGCCTTGAAAAAGCTTTTGGCTAATGGTAAAGAAGTGACAATGCTTAACAAAAGAATTTCCAAATGAATCACTTACATAAGAAGTCCTTTTTCTTTTCAAAGTTCGTGATGAACTCCGCATGAACATTCGGTAATAATTCTTTGGGAGCGCTGGATGGGATATCAACATCTTTCCGGGCTATATCAAGGAAACCGGCAAAAGACTAAATAGAGTAAGATAAAGGCAGAAGAAATAAAGAGCCATGGGAACAAGCTGCAAAACCTATAAAAGATAATAATGTGCTGACCTAGTGTAGGAGGGGCAGGCGGTGAGACCGGATCGCCCTATTTTCGTCGCCACTCTCTAATGCTGCGTTCACACTTTGCGGCAGCGTCCACCAGCGAACATCATCCCAGAAGTGGAGATATGGGGAAGTAGGAGGGTGATAGACTGCCGGTAGAGTATGGAGAACTAGGAGAAATCGGACAGCTGCACTAGGCGACGTGAAATTACGGCGTGTGCAACCGCGATGCACAACTTCTAAAGAACAGAATTATGCAGTCTAATGCACGGTATTGTGTAGTAGCACGGCACTGTTGCACACGCCGCAATTTCACGTCTAATCCAGCTGTTTGCTCTCTCCTACTTCCCCATACTCTCCACTCCTGGACACTGGTTGACGCTGCCACTATGTATGAGCGTCTAAGGCTGAAGAGAAGGAGGAGACAAGCATGGTCGACCCACCGGGTCCCCCTCCTATACACGCACAGTGGCCCCCGAAGAAAGCCCAATGAGATGAATTCCTGAACTAACCATTACAAGATCCTTCACTAAACGTCGATATATGAATTCTTCTGCCTATAATCACTTTACAAATCAAGTTAAGCGCTCAGTGACTTCCTCTTTGCAGAAAATACAAGGCTACAACCAACTTCTGGCAAGATACAGAACAATAAAATATTTTTTATTAATAATATTACTCTGAAAAGGCTTCAAAGAAAACAAGCATATATAACCGTAGTTATTAAAGACTACAAGTGCATTTCGTCGGGCAATACCGTAGGCAATAAAGAAAGTTATTAGCAAATACATGTTATTAGTTACATACACGTATTAAAAATAAAATTTAATTAATATTGGCTTGTCGTAAATTGGAAAGGAAAATTGGAGATTCCAATACAATTTCACGGAAATAATCATGCTGTAATATACAAGAAGATTGACGACTATGTGGGAAAAATGAAGACCATTATAACAAGGATCACAATTTCTTCAACTAGGCAATAAATAATTCTGAAAACTCAGTGAGAACGACTTGAGGCGTACCGATTTCTCAAATAAGGATTGTAAGGCGTCATATCGCCTTTTCGCCATTCCGACCATAAAAGCTTGGCAAGGAAGGCGTGGAATGCAATTAACAGGATCACTGAAATGAGTAGCTGAGCACGATACCTACATGATGTTCAATTACAGATAGACGCGCCGCCAACTGATACCTTTTTTTCGCGTGGTGCTCACTAGAGAGCACATCACTATGCGGTGCAGAGTGGACGTTGAATTACCACGTGTGTCAGCGTACCGGATTAACAGCGGAAAACTTTTGTTATTGGAAAGTTTCACTTGGAAATTGGACATGGGCTTTCACGCACCTTAATCGGCGGATGGATTGCCCGCTCTCGCTCGCCACGCCGCCAAGGTAACACTATCTGCGACAAGGTCCTCAGTGACGCCAAATATTCCAGTGTGCTACGCTAGCAACTACAAATTCGAGTATCGCGATGTAGCGGGTGCAATATAGTTAACTGGACACACGACTGATCATGTTATCCTCGCTTGCAAGCTTTTCTACAACAGTGGGATCATCGCGCTGCTCATCGTTCTCATCCCACGCAGCGAGTTCTTCAAAGGTTGATTTTTCGATCGCTGTATCCAACACTCGCAAATTTTTCCATAACAACAGGTGCTCATCTTTTCTGTTCCTCAACCAAATGTTGCAAAGGATTGGGTCCTGCTTACAAGCGACCGCTGAACGTCCTCACCAAGGAAGTTCTCGACAATCGGTGTCTCAGTCATTTCTCTCCCTGCTGAGTGACCTCCTCATCCCACATTATGTCTCCCATCTTAGCACATTCATCTAGAACCTTTGGATTCTATGCCTCTTCCATTTCATGAGATATAAAATCCTTATTAACTAAATGCCTTCTGAGCAGGGTAAAGCATCGTGATGGGTGAGGTGGTGTGTAGGTACGTCCCCATATCCCTCCGACAGGAGGGTCCGTCAGTACGACCTCCCTGTCAATCCGCCTGGAATGAGGGTCTCGCGTACGACCCCCCCCCCATTCCCCAACACTACCTACCAAATTCCCCAAGATTTTCAGTTTTTCACCCAAAATTTTTCAATAATGAGAGGTCTGAAAGGGGAGGCGGGAGAAACGAACTGCACATTGAAAACGAAAAAAGACTCGCAAAGTCAGCAAGCCGGAAAACAACCGCAATTAAATATCTCTCAAAGCCACATACGGACCCCCCCTCTCCCAACGACCAGATACGACCCCCACCTTTCCCCAGAAGAAAAGTACGACCCCCTATGGGTTTCGCACAAGGATGCTGTACCCTGCCTCTGAGCGACAGACAGTATTCTAACCATATCACTCAATGGTGTAGCGCGTGGGCACTTGTCAAGCACTCGCAGCGAGTTTATCCGGAAATCTGGATCTTCGGCCTCCAGCTCTTCACGCAATATAAAAACACTGCAAAGCTAAGCGGCCTTTGAGGAACCAGAGAATGGCGTGCTTACAGATCCTCAGTATCCGAATCATAGCTTATCAACAGTGTATCACGCGCGATACGTCATGTACCTGTCGGACAACGTTTTATGAGTCGTCTAATCACCACATTCCGCGTGTCAACTGTTGGTCTGCATATTAGCCAGTAGCTATAACAGCTGCGCTCGATGATTACGCCAAGACAAGTATGCTGGCGGCTTGGAGATTGTTAGCATACTACAGATTGAGCAGCAGTTCGCTTCCGGCTGATTTTTCAGTCGCTTTGCCCAGCACGTTGTCCTCGCTCGCTGCATTCTCCACAACAACTGGGTGTTCATCCTTCTGCTCCTCATTCACTGTGGCCTGTCAGAGGGTAGTACAGCAATCTCCCGAACGTCCCGTCCCCGCCAGGCAAATTCTTCTCGACAATCGGCATTTGTCTTTTGCTCTCGCCGCTGGGTGACTTCTTCATCCCACATGATGTCTCCGATAAGAAGTTTACCCGGAACCTACGGATCCTCGGATCGTAGCGCCAAACTAACGCTCAGTGGCGCCAAATGACGCAATTTATAGGGACTTTTGTGAAAGAGGTCGTGACGCCAAATGGTGTTCGTGCCACGAAAGAATGTCATAATTTCGATCGCGACACCGGACGGTTCCTGCAGACTAGTCTATAGGAAACTGTAATGATCAAGCTCACTGAGATTTTTGAAATCTAGATTAGGAATATGGCAACTAGTCTTGGCGCTAGAGCAATTTATTGCGAAACTGCCGCCGGCGCCAATGTAGCACCATTACCTTTTCCACCGAAGTTAAAACTCCCATACTATCTTTTTTCAAACCCTGATTCAAGGAATGAGAACAAGACCTACCAAGAATAAACCAAAACCATGCCGGAAGTCCTCCCATCGTAGAGCCATGTCGATGCAGTGCAAGAAGTTCGCTTTCATGAGCCGGTGCTGACATCACTTCCGAAACATGAATCGTTGATCTGAAATGTGTATGTCTATAGGTTCACAAGTTCTCAAACAGTAAAAAAGGACATACCGTAATTGCTCCAGATGCTTGCGGCTCGTCGCAATGTACAATATACTTGTCTCTGGTTTAGTGACCTGAATGGATAACTCCATGTAATCCTGATCCCCTTCTTCGAATATGAATTTCTAACCTTTATAGGGATCCTGACTGGAGTTTTGCCCAAAGTAACAGGCTCCCCCAAGCAACCTCCTCCACAAGCGTACAGTGTGGCCGTTGCTGATACCTGGATAAACGAAGCGTCTAGACTTTCCAGTCCTTTTATATGTTAGTGATTCACAAAACATCTTGTGAAAAAAGATTTTGTATTTTCAGACCTCCCAGGAAAAAGTGTGGGCTACATAACCCTGCTCAGTTCTATCTGTTAACTTTGACCCATTACCTCGAAGTAAGGTGTATTGTCAGCATCGATGCGAACACGAGCGCTGGCATCGCCCACACCGATTCCAATCGGCAAGCCACCAAACGCGAGCTCACGATGAAGATCGGAAATAGATAGCGCAACTTCCAGATGAGAATCGTGATATGACGCAGCAGCCAGCGACAGGGTGAATGCCTAAAAAATCGATTAAAAATGAAATAACGTGTGGAAATCCGAAACTATACCTGCGCAAGTCCAGTAGCACCTGATTTCAGTATGGAAGCACAACCCCTCTTATCAAGGGTTAAAAGCCAGATCTCTGCCAGACGCATCAGGTCTTCAATTTTATGCCAGTCCTTGAAAAAAAAACTTGTAAACAACGGTCTTCACACGGAAAATGATGGAACTTAGATAATGGATAGAACCTTCAACGACGATCGGCCCTTTTCAGTATGCGCCACACATTCTACTTCGAGATCATCAAGGCATAATGAGTGCGATTTGGTCTACAGATGACTTTTACGAAAAGTTGATGGGCAAATCAACGTTACGCTTCCCTTACTCCCAGATGAATTACAGGCTTTGATCCTCAACAAGCGCCTGGAGAGTATCACCACTTGCCACTACATCACCTTCGCCTCCTTGAAGCTGAGGAAGGAAAAAGCCGAGACATAATACTACACACCTGCCACAACTTTGACGGATACAGTAGTGTTGAGTGCTCACTGTAGCATCTTTCATTGCGCCTTGACGACAATTCCAGCGCCTAAAGACTCCTTATTTGCTTTAATACCTATAAAATAACCTAAACAAGACTGCTGATAATTTCCAACCTTTCTCTTGTCTTCAGGGAATGATTCCTCCAGGAGAGGAGCTTTGACGTTGCTCATGAGAATGTATCGAGTTGCATTGATTTGATCACCATTCAAAACCTTCGGTGCTTTCGACGGAGATAAGTAGAATGTGGCAGCATTCAGCTTAACCATCAGGGTTGAACGCAAGAAATATTGCACTCAAAGTGTTAAACTAACCGTTTCCCAGGCCCGTTCATGAGATACATCCACGGACAGCGGCGCGACCACACTTAGTCGACTGTACTCACTGATGACCTTCTTGGTGAGCTCCTGCAGTACGGGTTTCGTGTCCATTGCCATGTTGCTGGACAGTTCCTTTTGTACGACAATGCACATGAAGCGAATGGTTTCTTCCCTTAATTGCTGTAGTAAATGATAAAATGATGAAATGACTACTGAAATTCACTAAAGCTATGTTCATACTTTGCGTAGGCGTATACTAGCAGATGACAGCGTTTCGAACGTACGCAAGCCCAGCGACTAGGAAAATATAGGTATCTATCTAGCGAACGCCAGAGCACGTCAACGACCAGAAAAGTATGGATATCGCTCTAGCAAAGGCCAGCTCATGTCATCGTTTTGGCGGGCAGTTCGAGCTTGAGCAAACTTTACCATAAACGATGGAAAGAAATGTGAAACGGTTGAAAGGAGGTACACTAAGAAGAAGTAAAAAAGGAAAAAAAGAAACCCTGTCCAACTGAAACAAACTATGAGTGAGAATCGAGGCAAAATGCGTACACTAGTTGCCAACGGCGTCCTTCCTAACACCCGCCGATCCCCCATCTAGTAACTGTTATATGAGCTCCTTGTTTCTTTTTTTTCCTTTCTTGTCCTAATTATGAGCGTATGATGTTACTAAGAAGTCGTAAAGTATAAAAAAGGAACAAGGCTGCATAGTCAAATTCTGCAGCTGTACACCTAATAGCTGGGTTGTAGGAACTGTCGTGTGAATTGATGGAGCCACAAATTTGGAGCAAGTTTCACTGTATCACAATCTGGGAGGAACATTGAAGGAGGTCACAAAAAGTGGGACAAACTTCCAAATCTAACGACCACGTCTCTGGATGGCAGGCATGCACGTACTAACCTCTTCTGAGATACCGTATATTCCGCCGGAACACTCGAACACATGATCGCTGCGGTTAGAGACGATAGATGTAACGGAAACGATTGAGTATAAACAATCGCGTCACCTCTGGAATGAAAATAACAGTAAAAGGATGAAGGATAAAGTCTTCGCCGTGATCAATCCTGGGATGCGGCACGCATTCTACTTCCATTCAAAATCGTAGTGAATTATTCAATGAGATGTGGCCTATATACAATGACTTGCGGTGACCAGCGTCAGTGTTTAATCCTCACAGACGGATCTGGTACCAATTTACCGTCCCCGGAGGGTAGAAGCCTTAATTGTCTGGGCGTGAGTCAAACCCGAGATTTGAACCAGGTGCCGCGCGAGTGATAAAGCGCGCCACTTGTCACTACACCACCTCCGCCCTTTTCTTTCTTTCTTCTTTCTTTAAGAAAATAACAATAACAATAACAAAGCCTAATTTTAACTCGGGTTTCGGTGAGGCAGAGCATGACAATCTCCGCGAGGGCGTCAAATAGCAGCTTTAGTCGCGCAGCTCCCCTAACTAGGTTAAATGCCGCCACAACGGGTAAGTAATAAAAAATGAAAGCGAAATGCTGACAAATCAACAAATAACGAAGAAGCGAAAAAGGAAAGCGAAAGAAACGTACGTCTTATTGGCGGACCACTTCATTTCTTCAGGTCGTTCCATTTTCACAGTGATAGATGCCTTCTGCAACATGAAAAAATTGACTAGCAGTCAAACAAGTACAGTGCATGACAGTGCATAAGTCCAAATGCTGAAAATTACCGTTGGGTTGACAATCTTTACTTCCTCGACCAAAAGTTCCTTCTTCGTTCGGTGCGCATAGCTACTTCTTATAATGCACGCACATTCGCCTTCCTGCTGGTTTAAAATTTAGAGGAAACAAGTAAAAGATAGATCGCTAAGAAAAAGACGAATGCTTCACGTACCACAACATAACACCGGATCTTGCGAAGACGTCCGGTCTTGAATTCGGTGAATGTTGTTTCGGCTGACGAGGCAGTGCCGACAACATTGAAATTAACGAAAGGTTTAAAGCCTGTGGCAAAATCCAGAATACTGGAAGCGCTTGAAGGAAATCTGAAAGAGAACCCATGAATCTTGACTCTCTCAAATTGCAATCAAAACTTCTGGCGATGAAAGGACGAAACTTTAAGCCAAGGCTCAAGCACTTATGAGATCTTCTAGCTCTGGAGCATCAGACTGCTGTTTTTGGAACCGATTTGGACTATACAATAAGCTAGGAAGGCCAGTCAAAATGTGCGTGCCTTTTTTAGCCGTCCATCTTTCAGAAAGGAATTATTGCGCCAAATCTGTGATGACTCGCAAAGCGATACTGCAGGAAAGAGGATCACTGAACAGGATCAGCAGAAATCCAGGCTAACTCTAGGGCATAATTCAGTCGCACTCATACAATAACGTCGGCTAAAAACATCCCGACCGAGCGAACAGGAACTAAAGTGTAGGTGATAGAGGGTACTAAAGTGTATAAGTGAGTATTTGAACTAGAACATTTCCACTTTTGCTGCGCTATGTGTTAACGCTAGCTGAAGTTCCGGTACAATAGTGGCACGGGGGGAGTGGTTGGAGAAAAGATGAAAGAGGAGGAGCATCTTCTGGGATTTTTGGGACAACCTGGGGAGTATTCTATCAGGGAAACTATGGACAACTTGAACTCCGTCATGGCACGCTAAAAGGCTAGCCCCTCTCCCCTCACCCCCCCCCCCAAAGCCCCTTCCGCTCAAAAAGTTCATGCCCTGGGTCCTCATTTTTCCTTTTGCACTTTGCGGTGCTTTAATAATCGTTATCCGCTATCTACCTGGTCTACAGGGTCTCACGATAGTGAAAGATCGACAAGTCAATCGTACTTTGGGTCGGCGCCACTTGCCACGCTCACCCAGCGCGCGGCGTACTCACATATCCCTGTTCTGGTACCCCAAAACTGCATAAAGCAGACAACTTCCAAATATGCACATTCGTGAGAAAAAACCAAGACGAAAGAGCTCACCTTAATTCTCCATTAACATCCACACCCATATGACCGTTACCAATGAATGACACAGAAGATGAATCAACGCCTATTGATTGATCCTTAAATAGAAAAAATGCTTAGTGTCGAGAGCCCCACATTGAGCACACTATTTTCAACAAATTATTTGCGGTAGTCCCTTGCGCAGAAGTATTCAGAATCACCGCTGCAACCGAAAGCTAAGCTTGAAAATTTTTTTCGCTTTTTTCGTAACACGCTAGGCAGGCGAACTTCATTCTGCATCGTAAAGCACGTACGACATGAGACATAGCTTGGATCTTGTCCCCGCTGCTCAATAAATATTACCTTAAAACTCTTCAAGCTATTAGCACGGCGAGAGAATGGGCTTATGCATACTACAGTATCGCAGTAACCAAGTGCGCGGTCGAGAAGCGGAACGCACCCACTTATGTACCCTCACAGCAATTTCTGCCTGAGGAACAACCGCAGCTACGGGATCGTAGGCTTCGTTCATTTCCGTCGTTTTGCGACGGAAGTCTAGAAGAATGAGAAACTCGGCGATTCGAGTTGTGCTAGAGCGCGCGTATCAAAAGAATGTATAAGTATCGGTCTGCAACTCGGAAGATATTGGGTAGTTGCAATGCAACGTTCCTTAGAGAATTCGCGCGCCAGAGGAGTGGACAGGTATCGATCGGCTTATTCGCTCGCACTTCGACGTTCTGGGAGGACATCCTTTTTAGAACGTCAAGTCGCCGAATGTGACTATTTCTCCTGTCGCCAGTTGTCTTTATTTTTTTTTGTTTTTTTAGTAGACAGTCCTAAGTTCAGGTTGCGACGCATTTAACTTAAAACAGCATATTACAGCTGTGCCACGGGCGCGGCTTTTGCACCAAGATCTGAACGATAATGTGGAAGTGCTGCGGTGTACAACTAGCTGGGAAGCCCTTGCTGGTCCGCACTAGATTATAAGTAGAGGAAAACAGGCGTGATACAACACCTCCTCCGAAAAATTCGCGTGGAACTAAATGTGTCGGTTCTGTGAACGCACACAGTTGGGCATACAGTAAGCCGGTTCATTACCCAGGTTCACATGCCTTTTGCACAGCTTGGCTGATGAATGTTTCATCATGGATTCTTGGGCGCACAAGGGCCTGGAGGAGGGGGGAAACAAGCATGTGGTGAGCCAGCGAAGGTGACGCTGACCTCTTCCACTTGGCCAGGGGCTGCTTAGGCGAAAACTGAGCAGCGTCTTGTGCACTCGCCACACTTACGTACAGCTTTTCGCTCAGTCTGGGGTACTGTATCACGCCTTTTTCCGTAAACTAGTACTCAGTGGTTTGCGCACGTTACCAAAACTCAGCCCCTCGCCCCATACCACGCAGTCCGATAGGTTTCCTCGACTCAAAAAAGTTCCAGTGGAGTTCGTTCACCCATGACACGAGCACTTCCTGAACCATTAACTTTGCTTAGTCTCAAAAATAGCAACGCAAAAGATGCAAACAAACCAAAGACTCACGAGAACTCCTTGCTCCCAGTTCTTAAAGCGGTCCTTGACACATTGCCCTGCTTTTGAGATGCGTTCGCTATCACTAGATATACCCAGGTAGTAAAGGACGAAGATTACAGCACAAATCACTCCAAGCACTTTCCGTTTTGGGTATCGATTACAAAGTCGGTGTAATTCTTCATATTCAATTCCTTGCACAAGTCGAACTAATTTGCACCACCACAACGAGACATTCATCTGAAAATCGACACTGCGGTATAAAAGAAAACCGGACAGTTCAAAACTCCAGTTACGCAAGTTAACTGAGGGAAACTGATTGAACGAACTACTGGACGCAATACTCTCAGGCGTGCAATAGGTATAACTGACACAACGAGCTAACGAGGCCGGCACAGACAAACAAACCTTAAAATTGCGAAACCATGCGACACTTCCTCGAATTTCACCAGCACAGCTTTCAGATATGTCATACGGTGGTGCTTCGGAGTGCAATTGCACACCATCTTTTTCATCACACGCCATCATTTTTTGCAAGGTCAATCGGAATACAATTTCCGGTCGGTTGGATTATCCGTTCGGCTTTCTCGCTGCACACTTTTGAGGAGTTTGTTGGTGCGTTGTTTTTAATCTCCTTACGACCTGTAATTCAGTGCTTCAGCTGTTTTTTAGAACAACTTATGGATTGGATAGGAATTCATTGTCTTCAGGGCTCTCTTTCTGCTCTTGAAACTAAACATTTCCGAGCTCACTGTGCATGAAGATAAAAGAATTTCCGACAAATATGATATGAGGAAATTTCCTCACTTACTGGAAATACTTTTGGGATCTAGGTTAAAGCCGTTTTCGGACTGGAAGGTTTTCTCGAAATCGGAATAGAAATTTCATAGGTACGAATACTTGAGTAGTTTCAAAGGTTATGATTTCCAGGGGAAATCGGATAGGAAATGCAAATATATGGTATTTTGCGTGTTTACACTTTCGCCCGCGCTTTGTTTATCGGACAACCTCGGTTTTGGCAATATTACATTGATTTCAAACATTTGCGCCCTTTGAAAAGACATAAAAATTGAAGCAGTAAATGGAAGTACGCGCGGATAATATGGAACTAATTTAAGGAGTTTGAGAGGGTTTGTCATAACAAAGGGGTTCGAAAAAGGCAAAGTGGGCTCATCCACCCTTTCTATGATAACATCTTTGGCGTAGTTCGGAGAAAAGGCGCATTTTGCATTTTCGCTCTACTAGTTCTGGTTCGCAAGTCTCTTTCTGTAAAACCCGTGAGTCTTGTGAACTCAACAATTCGTCGAGCCACAATGGGAGCCTGGCAAAAGAATCGTAATTTGCAGCTCCGCCGCGCGCGGCAAAACGTGCGCCATTCTCTTGTTTTAAGCTGTGGACTGAAGCATGGACCTCACTTAGACCCCGTCATCGTGGACATTCATGAGACATTCATGACTATTTTCGGTTTTGAATTGCCTGTTGTCGCCATCCCCCCGCCCCCCCCCCCGCCATCTACGACCTGGAACCATCGTCATCTGCGGGCGCGACGTCGCACGCGACGCCCATAAGCGCGGCGAATTGCGATTCTCTTGTCACATACCCAGGCACAGTGGTTAACCTGTCAACTCTTGTCAGCTCAAATAAAATGAA